AGTCAACTCTGGCCCTTCTTATATAAGATGCCTGTGTTTGTAGTTCAGTCCAGCTTGTTGTTGAGGTGAACACCCAGGTACTTGTAAGAGTCCACTGTCTCAATGTCTTTTCCCTGGATGTTCACCGGTGCTGTTGGGCGTGACTTCCTCCTGAGGTCTATGACCATCTCCTTCATCTTGCTGGCATTGATTTGGAGAGCGTTGGTCTCACACCAGCCAACAAAGTCACTGATGACSCCCCTGTATTCCTTATCATTCCCATCTGATATGCATCCAGTGATGGTTGTATTATCCGAGAACGTCTGTAGGTGGCAGTGGTCGGAGTTGTACCTGAAGCCTGACGAGTACAGACTAAAAAGAAAGGGTGAGAGGACCGTGCCCTGTGGTGCCCCCGTGCTGCAGACTACCACATCAGCCTCACATACTGTGGTCTGTTGGTGAGGTAGTCGATGGTCCATGCTGTCAGATGCCTGTCCACTCCGGCTCCCTCCAGCTTCCCTCTCAGCAGAGCATCTGGAAAGTGTTGAAAGCACTGGAGAAGTCAAAGAACATGACTCTCACAGTGTTTCCTTCTTGCTCTAGGTGAGAGAGACATCGGTGCTGCAGGTAGATGACAGCATCCTCCACCCCGATGCCGGGCTGGTAGGCAAACTGCATGGGGTCCAGTGCTGGGCTCATCACAGGACGAAGATGGTGCAGGATGAGCCTCTCCGTGGTCTTCATCAGATGAGAAGTCAGAGCCACCGGTCTGTAGTGGTTGGGCTCCCTGGGATGTGTGATCTTTGGCACTGGAACCATAAAGGAAGTCTTCTACAGATCAGGGACCCTCTCTAGACTCAGGCTCAGGTTGAAGATATGCAGGACCACCGGACAGAGCTGGTCTGCACAGTRTCTGAGCAGRCTGGGGCTGATTCCATTRGGTCCTGCTGCCTTCCTGATCTTTGTTTTCCTGAGCTGTCTTCTCACCTGATAGGCTGTGAGGTGAATGTGAGGCTGGGTTGGAGTGGTAGGTGGGGCTGGTTCTGTTTTTGGTGAGGGTGAGGAGAGTGCAGGAAGTAGAAAGTGGGAGAGCAGCACGTGGTGGGGGCTAGTTGGGAGCTTGGTTGTGGCGGAGTTGGTAAATGGGCCAGAGTCAAACC